CCACGCATACACAACACTCATGGAAGCATGTCCTTAAATAACCTTATCTGTTAATAGAACATTAAACAAAATAAAATAAAACCAAACTAAAATTTGAAAATAATGGAACACCGATTCTAAAATCGTTTTCGAGTCGTGGTTAATTTCTTTTCAGGTTTTCCCATACTGATAACCCGTAAGAAAGAATATACAAATGTTAGATGATAAATAGGAGTATGAAATAATAGATAAGCAATTGATATTACATAGTTCAACTTTTATTTCTGGAAATAAAAACATTATTAAAGCTGAGGGTAATCAACATGTACATATAAGTGTTAGGTGAATGTAGCAGTATAATTAAGCAAAATATAACATCATGTTTATAGGGACTAGTATAAGTAAACTGTATGTACAAGTATTACAATATATTGATGTGAGGGTGTTATTCACCAGATGTGTATGAGGATGAATTATACACTGTGTATACTATCATTTTGTGGTACATCAGTACATGTGATGATAGCGGTTTAGTTACTATTAACGAAATGATAATAAAGGGAGATGTATTTGTATTTGATATCAGACTGTAAACGTGACCTAAGTCAGGTTAACTCCTGTATTAGTGATAAACGTAGATATATGTACAACACTGTATTACTATAGATTTATGTCTGTCTTGTTCATTGTGTAATCTGTTATTATCTACTTCGTGCTTTCGACATATATGTGTGTTCGTGTATTCGTGAATTGTATTGAAGTTACTTAATATTTCACAGACTCGAACATATAAATACCATTGTTAATTGTCATTTTGTATGTATTTTACCATAATGAAAAGAATGGAAGTACTTAATTTCATTCTACTCTTTTCATGTGCTATCATATCGTTACATGTTACTTTTGCAAAAACAAAACAGTTGCAGTGTAACTTTCCAGTCCAATGGCAAAGCAATGTTTTCTTTGACTTCGAAATGATGCTGGTGGCCACACAACATATCAACGCATCAGGAATGTTTTATTATGATTACACCAACCAACAGATGAGATTTGACTTTGCTGGAATAGAGCATGCTGGCAATACTTCTGTAGACTTTACTCTCATATGGAAGTTTAACGAGGTAAGTACAATGATTTGTCATCTTTAAGCCTATGCTTACAAATTTGGATACTGTCAGATTAATTTTTCCCCTTTAGGACATGTATCAAGCATTCCAAATATTATAAGAATGTGTTCATGTTAACATTAAGTATAGAAATATGTGTAAATCATAACATTAGAATATAATACTTATTAATCAAACTACATACATAACGTATATCTCTTCGGTATAACAGCCAGCGTTTTACACCGTGGACAACCTCGATAAAAGCTGTGAACGAGAGGATGGTGTCAGTACCTTCTGGAACCAGTGGGAAGGAATACCAGGTAAGTAAGGAGTGTCACTTCTGGAGAATTTAATTACACTACCGGGTATGCAGAGGAGTGACTTCTTGTATCAGTGGGAAGATATACAGGAGAAACAGGGAGGGTGTCTAATGGGTTCACTCGAAAGATATTTATACCGCGTAAATAGGGAGAGTGACTTCTTAAATCAGTTGGAATGAATCAGCGGGAAAAAAAATTTCAGATTCTACAACCTAATATATAAATAAATGATACACCGCTGTCAAGCAATTGTAACGATCTTTGTTAGATAAGGCTTATTATTGAAATGTTGTAAGTAATAACGAATCTTTGTATGAACTGATGTCTAATAAATACTTTTGTACTTTACCCATAAACACTGTATTGAGAATCACTATGAATGATTGAATGAACGAAAAACCTTGGTATTTTAGCTGATGCCTCACCAGAATATTTCGGACGCTTAGGTGGTTTAAACGAAATTGTTGGACAGTACAAATGGGCGGAAAAGAATGCAGGGCCGATGGGAAATGTGGCAATAACTATGGATGTAAAAGTTGGTGGGTAATAGTGAAAGTCTCTAAATGTCATTACTGTTCCGTTTTTGAGAGAAATATGTTATGCTGTGCAATATTTTTAAGGTTAAAACAAATGCATGTATAAAAACGAAGGATATTGTGTGACAGGAAAACAAGAGATCTCATCACTGAAAATATGTTAATGACAAACCTGGTTCACGAATGTTTATGCATAATCTACACGTTTAAAATGTTTGAAATACTAGTCTAACTTTAATAATCTGTAGTTGCCTAAAATGGTAAATTTGTAACATTTGAAATAAATGTATAATCATTCTTTCCCTTTCATTGTATTCTACATATGGTTCGGAACACATAGGACATGGAGTTTCATTTTTTTCTGATTCTTTTGACGATCAGCACCACTGACGAGTCCTTATTGGGCGAAAAAGCAATATTGTGTATTATTTTTATTTCTTTTTCTTTTCAAATAGGTTCTTCCGTTTCTTTCTGTTTCTAGTGATATAAAAGCCAAATTTGCCTGATCAATTTGTACCGGTTAGAGGTAGAAATGAAATATTATTTGTTCATTCCGTTGACCACTGATGAGTCCGTCATAGATGAAATGGCCATATGGTACAATGGAATGTTTACTTTGTTTCACTTTCTACACACAGGATTTTCATATAGATATGTTTCCTTTCTCCGTATAATATTGATTATGTGTTAATTTTTGTAGGTGACGTCTGTTCTCCAGTCCGTTTGACAATGCGAGAATTAAGTAAGATTTCGTATGGAGCCTTTGCTTATAACTACGAATTCTTAGATATCAGTGACATAAAGAGCCCGAATGTGTTCACGCCTCCCCCGAACTGTCACAACACCACATCATTGGTCAGTAAAGTGTTTAGCTATATATTTAACTTTATTTCAATGCGTCTGATCTATTTCACGTCTAGTATCTATATCACGTTCCCTACTCTACTCCCTGACCCTGCTACCATGATAACATGATATAAGTTGTTAACAGCATAAACCGATTATGTTTATGTTCTCCGCTGGTGGCATAAGAAGAAGATATTAAAATGTTACTGTAGGCTTATATGTGTACCTACACCAATATACACTTCATGTAGAAAATAACATTGTTACAAATATATGTTACAATATTATTCTAATCAAATTAAACATGAGCTCCTGTCATTTAGATATTCAAAGTTATTAAGTAACAAATGTTTCTTTTATGTTTCAGAGACATATCAACAGAATGGTTACCATTCCCAGATATTTTGGTTTGTTTATGGGATAATTAAATCTTCAATAGTTGGCAATAATCGTTTTCTTGATTTGTCTGCTCCCCCTCTCCACATAAATAAAAACAACTTCTATAGAAAACAGAGATAATCAATGTTTATTCAGCCATAGTGATCACATACATAATATCAAATGGCTGTGAATACATCATTTCTTGATATTACAGTCATTTTGTATAAACATTTAAATAATACGGTATCTTTGGAAAACAATAAATCTGTGAAATACGTCATTTGAAGTGCTGGCAGAAATTTCCAAAAATAGTATCGTTATTTTCTATGTATTTGTTTGCGGTAAGGGCCTCTTCGCAATAGATATGGATATAGATGTTATACGAGGACATCGTCCATCAATGATGGTGCTACTTAGGAGCTACTTGGAATAAGGCTTGAATGTCACAATCAGAACTTACTTGAAATGCTATCCAGTCATATTAGTTTACCACCGTAAAGAACGAACAAAAAGACGGATATAGAATAGAGATCAGAAGTGTTGCATTCAGGAGCACCAAACAGCATATTAATGTTGTTATCTTCGATGTTATCTGCTTATCATAGTTATTGCTTCAGTCATAGCGCAAAGGTAATATCATTTTAACCGACGCTAATCGGTTTTTAGCAGGAGCTCAAAATTGAAATTTCAAAAATCCTTCAATTCTAAGTCTGTAGCGGAATTGATAGAACACGTTTAAATGGAAGGATGCTGCCTTTGCTAGGTAACATAGCTAATGATTCAAAGAACAACGCAAGAACAATTTGGGTCTGTATGCTTTAATATTTAGGTGATTGAATAATAATTGACTGTAATACCACAATCATAGTAAAAAAATCCGTTCTAAGTTATTACTCGAGCCATGGTAATGCTAATATCATGATTACCGAGTGGTCTGATGCTGGATGACTCAGTCAATTCACCACTTAGAAAGTGCTTGATCTCCTCATAACGCTAATCCATGACAAAATCAAGGTGTTGAAATGGTAGGAATTTTCTTGTCTCTTCATTCTGTAAAACAAACACAAAACGCAAGATCATTTAAACAATAACTGGTTGTCTGGATGTAATTATTGTTG